GACCAGAGCGGAGTGAGTTGAGGTAACTGCCCCCAGATCTGTGGCCAGACTGGAAGAAAGGGCAGCTTGAGGTGTGGAAACAGCCTTTGCCCTCCCCGGCCTTCCCTGTCCCCAGCTGCTACCCTTCCTGGTTCTCCCTCCCTGAGGGTGGGGTGGTTAGCTACACCTTGGACCTGGCCACCCAAGCTCAGTCCCGCCGTGCTCTCTGGAATGCTCTCCCCCCTAAAAGGGTCCTTCCCATGTGTGGTCACAACTTCGTAGTCTCCCTCCCTCTTCTGTCCTTGCCTGAAGCCCGGTGCTCAGCCTGGCACTTCGTGGGTGCTCACTAAATGTTGCTTGAAAGAAATAATGTGTGTGTGTGTTGGGGGGTGGGGGGAGATTCCATCTGAGCACCCCTTGGAGATAGATATCTATTGCCAAAATTTGCCTTTTTTGGCTAGACTTTTAAAACACCTGTCTGGAACTTGGTGACCGTCCCTTCCTCTCCTGTCTGCCTCTGTTTGCGTTCCCTCTGGACAGAGCCCAGTGGGTCCAGGAGCTTCCAGTGGAAGCGAGATTGGTCACAGGACTAGGAGAGCTCGTTTCCTTTCTGGGCTGGTGACCACACACCCTCCCCTGTGCACACACTCTTGTCTGCCAGGAGCAGACCCCAACAGAGGCACACAGCCTTCTGGATGTTACACCTGTGCAAAGTGGGTTCGGGGGAGCTGGGCAGACAGGTGCAGGAGAGTGAAACAGGAAGTGGTCTTCTCATTCTGTGAACAGGCTTGATTTGAAACAGCAGAAGCCATTGTCCCAGATGTAAACACAGAGCCCAGAGAGGTCCCCCCAAACCTCCAGCTGTCTCTCAGCTTCATTTGTTCCCTCCTACCAGTCTCCAGGGTAACCCCCTGAGTTGGGGGCAGGCCACCATCGACTGAGCCCTGGCTAGGTGTCAGACACTTTGTTACCTGATCTTACGTAACCCTCTCAGCATCCCGTGTTGTTATTCCCATTTTATAGATGAGAAAACTGAGACTTAGAGTCAAGTACTTCCTCACAGTAAGATGCGAGCCCCTAGCCCAGCGTTGTCCCAGGTGAACTAGGCTGGGCCACAGGCAGACTCGTTTTACTTGGCGAAAGGTGTCTGAATGCCAGTGGTGCCTTGATTTCCTTAGGACTGTTGGGGCGATTAAGCAAGTTACTGCATGAAAACCACTTTGACCAGTGGCTGCGGACGGGAAGCCCTTAGGAAATATACACCACTGTTATCAGATCACGGAGCTCCACACCCGACAGAAAGCTTTCAATAAATGGTGACTCAGCCACGTGTCTCCCTCCTCGTGGTGCGAGTTTGGGAAGGGGGTACTCCTTGACACTGGGGAGAACGTGGACTCTGGAAAACCTTTCTGGAGACAAGTTAGTGATCTGTGTCTAAAAGTTAAATTACATTTCCTCTGACTCAAGAGGCTTATTTCTAGGAAGGAGTCCTGTAGAAGTGACGAACGATGTGCTCAAAAAAAGAAGTCAGGGCTGAGACGATGCTCATCGCAGTGTTATCTGTAAAAGCAGGAAGATGGAAACCACGTTTCCGGTAGTCAAGATGGGGAACAGGAGAAATGAAGGGCGCAACTGCCGTGTGACGAGATACAACGAAGCCCTGGAAATGAGGGTGCGGAGCTCTGTTTACTCCCATAATATGAAGGGCAGAGCATATATTTTCAAGCAGCTTTTTTCCAGGTGTCATTTACACACATCGCACGCATACGGTCCGGTGAATTTTAGGGAATGTGCTCGGTTATGCAACCACCTCTGCCGTCTGGTTTTGAGCCCGGGGCCCAGCATATTTTTAAATGAAAAATAAAACAAGGTGTAAACAGCATGTGTAATAGGATCTCCTTTTGTGTGTCTCCTGTCCGAGGCCCTGTGTAAACACGGTTCCGTGTAAATGGAGCATCGGAAAAGGACCGGAAAGAACGTACCCAAAAGCCGGCGGGGGGCGGGGGGGTGGGGGGGCCTCGGTGCCAAGGTTACGGGAAGACTGATCCTGCCGCGTGCCTCCCCCTCCAGTCTTCCGTGGCTCCACACTGTCTTCAAGATAAAGAGCAAAGCGGGAGGTGTCACGGCAGCGTGGTGACGGGAAACCCCCGCGCGCACGCGCACACACGCAACCTCTCTATTAAGCGCTGGCGGCCCAACCAGCTAAACGTTGGTGGACACGCATTGTGGAAATTCGTAGACAGTACTCCAAGGTGTGAAGACCCTTGCAGCCCATAACCCTTGCAGCCAGGAATAAAGCCGAGACAGCATTTTCGGGGATTCTTGGCAAATGGCAACTTTTCTTAACTTATTGTGGTTGCTGGGCAGGGGACGGGTGGAGGGACATTTTGGGAAGAGCGAACGGCGTATTTCAGAAGCTTGGATTTCCCAGAACCTGGTGGTTTGAGAGAGAGAGAAGAGCTGGTTTTCCTTTCAGGTTTTTACCATCGTTTTCAAAGGCACGAAGTATCGGGATGGTTTTCCTTTATCCCCCATCCCGTTTACGGTGTGCCCGCTGTGAGCCAGGCCCTCCCTAATTCAATGTCATATACGATCTCAGGCAGCGTGGGCAGCATTTCGCACAGCATCTACTTTCCCTGGCTTCCAATTCACTCCAAGGGCAAATTCAGCCCGGTCATTCCCAAGGTCTACCCACGGTCTAGGCGGTGGGCGAGGCTAAGGGTTCCCGTGAGCGCCGCTCACACGCGCACTCAGCGGGAAGGGAGCCGCAGCTCCTGCTGTGTGCCAGCGTGCACGGCGCGGGGGACCCGGCCCACAGCCCATGGGGGGAGCTGTGCCAAGATCCAGGTGACTTCCTGGAGGTGGCTGCTGAGCTCCTAGGTGGCCAGAGACTCACGGAGGAAGAGGGTCTGAGACTCGAGGGCAGATGTGCATGGGTGCAAATCCTGCCTCCCACATTGACTCGCCATGCAGCATGGGAAGCTCCCTGTCCTCTCTGCACCTCTTATTTTCTCATTCGTAAAGGGAGGCCGTAGTGGTCGATGTGGAGGCAGACGTCGTGGTGACGGTGCTTGGCCGGGCGCCTGACGCGGTTTGCTCTTGGCAGATGGCGAGCTCTTCCTCTGGATTATGGTTAGGAAGTTCCCGAGCAGTGGAGGTAGGTGGGAGGGATATTTTGGGAAGAGGAAAGCATGTTGCAGAAACCTGGAATTCCCAGAGCTTGGTGATGAGCAGCAAGGCAGAGGTCAGCGTGGCCCGTCTGGAAGTTCTGGGCCCGGAGAGGGGCAGGGCTGAGGGCGAGTGCCCACAAAGCCTCGGCATCGTGGGATGTGGGGGCCTCCAGGGGGCCGAAGCAGGAAGCCAGGGAGGAGGCTGGGGTTGATGGCTCCCCAGACAGAGACAGACAGAGAGGGAACTGAGCTGCGCTGTGGCTGAGGGCTGATGGCGGGGAGGGACGGGGGAAATCCAGTCAAAGAGAGGTTCTCTCCCTGATCGCTGCCCTACGTCTCTCTAGATTATCGCCATGGCCTCTTAACTGCTTTCTTGTCACCGCAAGTCCCCTGTAGTTTAGTCTCAAAAAGCAGCCAGATCTTAAAGATCTCTTTAAGATGTAAGTCACACAATAGCCCTTTCTTTCTCAAAACCTTCCAGTGGTCCTCAAGGGCCCCCATGGCTCGGTCTCCCCATGATCTCTCTGACCTTTGTTCCTGGTACCCTCCTGCCCTGCCTTGCTTACTCTGCTGTCCCATCAGCACCTCGGGTACCCAGCCCCAGCCTTTGCACTCACCAGTTTCCCGCCCTGGACACCTTCCCACAAGTAGCCCTCCGATTTGCCCAGTTTTTCGGAGCGGTCATCCCGGACTGCTCTGCGGAAAGTTAACACCTTCAGCCCCAGTCCTCCCAGCCCAGTTTCCCTGTTGCATTTTTCTCTGTCCCACATTTCACCACCTGATATATTTCTTGTTAATTTTCTCCCACTAGAATGTCGGCTCCACAAAGCCAAAGACTTGGTCTTCTTTGTTCACTGTTGTGTGTATTTCAAGCCCTCGGTGTGGGTCCTGGCTCACAGTAGGTGCTCATGCATTTGTTGAATGAATGATCAAGGTTCTGGGAGTGATGCCAAGGGCTTGACTGGTTTCTTTCCAAGATGACTTTGTATCGGATGGAGCAAGGACTCTCTTATCCATGAATTGCCATCCCTCTGGCCCCATTATCTGTGTGTGCTCTTAGCCTGGCACCCATGGGCAAGTGACCCTGAGAAGTAGTGATGACTGCTTCTGATGGAATGTACAGAACCGGTGCCAAGAGGGACCAGATTCAGAAGGTCTTTCTAGAAGAGTCCTTAGACATTGTCTTTTCTAGGCTCTCTGTTTTACAGATGAAGATATTTAGGCTCAGAATTGGGGGCGGGGAGGGGAGCGGGTCATACTCCAAGGTCACAGAGCAAGTGTGTAGAGGACAGAAACCAGGCCCCTTGCTCAGGCAGCATCCAGGTAGCAAAGACTGTTACCAGTAAGAATACCCAGGATTGGCAGTGCTCTGTGTGTGTGTTTAGAGGCGGGAGATGGCCCGTTTCGTTGGCCCATTTGTCTGTTCATGTGACTACATGGGGTGGCACTCTCTCTCTTGCTGCCAATTATTTTTAATCTTTGATATAGTAAAAAAAGAGAATTTTCTTCCCAGTAGTGTGAACTCAGGACCCGTAAATCCAGTCAGAATTTCTAGATGCCTATTCCGTGGGCATTTCATTTGCCAGGCATGATTTTATCTGATGAAGAATTTCCCCGGCTACGTGTACCTCGATAATCTCTGGGTACAGCTAGTGACCAGTCCAGAAGGCTCGTCCACACTCAGCCTTAATAGTTTACTAGCCAGGCAGCCTTGGGAAGGCTGGGAAGGTCACCTTTCCTCTCCTGGGACTGATGAATACTCATAAAATGAAGAGTCAAAGGCACGTGACATTTTTTACCCTCAGATGGTGAGGCAGGACAAATCAATTACACTTTCTAACAGTTGTAATCTGTATGGCTCGTAGTTTACAGTTTGTAAATGGCACTCCCCTGGTCAGTTACCACATTTGATTCTGGCTTCGGGGGCAGTTTAGGGATCATTTACTCATTCATTCAAAAAAATAAGTCTGTGCTGGGGTCTGTGCTGGCCACGTGGGATTTGACAAGGAGTAAAAACAACCTTGGTCCCCGACAGCTGACATTATTTTCCATGGTATCAGCGTGTCATTGTGTATTTAATCAGTCCTTCAGAAAAGGCTCTGGGCGTTGTTTCCAATTGTGTGCACTTTGCAAACAAATTTGTGACCTGTACAAATGTCATTTACCTGTAAAATAAGGTCACATGGTGGGATTGTCGGGTGACTTTGTAACTTTGATAGATGGGGTTCGCTTGCCCTCACCCCTGGAGCGGTACTATGTGCATGCCAACCAACAGTGTGTTGGGTGGACTGTTCCCTCACCTCCACACCAGAAGAATGTATCAAAGTCCTGGCTTTTTGCCAATCTGACAGGTGAGAGATGCTATCTGTTCTGATTTGCATTTTTCTTACTTACGAAATCCTGCCTGCATGTTTCAGGGTCATTTTGTGCGTGTGTGGGAACTGTTATCGGCCCGTTTTCTTCTGGGGTGTTGGTCTTTTTCACTTTGTTTTCTGGGAGCTCTTTATAGGTTCGGAGAATTAGACCTTTGTGATCAAGGGGCACAAAAGTTACCCCAAGCTGTTCCTTCTGTTTTGACAGAAGGTGTTTCTTGCTGATGTTTTTGGGGGAAGGACACGGGGAGGTTTGTTTTTTTCATAGAATTAAGTTTGTTCATGTTTTCTTCGATGGCTTCTGGATTTCATAGATAATTCAGAAAACTTTCCCACCTCTGAAGTTATAAAGAAATTCACCTGTGTTTTGTTCTAAATTTTTACGGGTTTTATTATTTTACATTGGGAGTTGATCCTGGTGCCCTTTCTGAGGTATACACTCAGCTTGTTCTTTTCCCTCCCACCTTCTCCAGTTGCCTGACATCTGTATTAAAAGATGCATTTGCTTTACTGATTGAAGATACTCTTTTTGTTGAATATGCAAGTAGCATATTCCTTCTGCAATTCCTTTTGTTTTGTTGGCCCGTTTGTCTGTTCATGTGACTACATTGTTTCAATTATCGAAACTTTATAGCGTGTTTTAATATCTAAACGTCCAGTCCCTCCTCATTTGTTCCTCTTCTTAGAGTTTTTCTGCAAGTTCATGCTTATTTTTCTATGTGAACTTTAGAATCAATTCGTTGAATTCCAAAATCACGTACCATGTATAAATTGGCTTAGAGAAAATGGACATCGTTATGAAGCTGAGTCTTTTATCCAAAAACATAGCCTGTCTTTCCATTTGTCCAAGTTTATTGTGTTCTTTGGGGACTTTAAATGTTTGCTCAAATAGCTTTTGAGCATCGTTTGTTAAGTTTAACCCTAAGTATTATGGTGGTGGTTGTAATATGTGGGGTCTTCTCTTTTATTGTATTTTCTGCTTCTGACTGCTTGTTTGTATTTAAGTACGTGTGCCTGGGTGTGTCCTACCACTTATCAATATTCTTTTATTATTTGTAGTTTTTCAGTAGTTTCTCTTGACTTGTCCAGATGTGCAATAGTATCTTACAAAAATAGCAATAGTTTTAACT